GATTTGAAACGCTTATAGTTTCTAAACAAGAGAAAACACTGTAGTCGACGGCCTCGACTATCAGATGCCCATTACTCACTTAGCCAAAAAGCGCCACCTATTCGTTCATTCCCATCGGCTGCTTACAAGATTTCACTAACACGCCACAAAACGTGAAGGCTAGGTGGCGCTTGCGAAATTTCGAACACTTTCAACATTTTTCTCATTCATCACGCCGCAATACAGTATGCTGGTTAAGGCAATTAGCTGTACGATTTTAATGAAGCATACCGAATGAGAAAAATTTAGAAAGTATGTATATTTAGTAGATACATTTTTGTATGTTTATGGTGCGATCAGCACTAGTTTTTTTTAATCTCGTTTAATGGTTTTTTGTTTGATATCAGAAGTTTTTGAAAAATCCATTAATTTCTTAAATTATTTTACCTGAAAATACTATTCGAACGATTGATATTTCATTTATCTGCCTATATTTTTATATATTGCTAAGGAACCATTTAGCTCAAATTTGTCTAATTGAGACTATTAGATTCAATTTAATTTAAATTTAAAATTCATTTTTATTATTTACAAAAATTGTTATAATGTTTTCATTGCCAAATCGGTGATGCCTACTTTTCGGCAAAATTGCAGCGTGCACCGTTAGTTGTTCTTACAAAAAAGTTTTAGTTTTTGAATCTACCTATCTATTTAACGTGACTATTTAGGACAATGAGTTATATTTGGAAAATTGAGGATTCTCAAGCATTATACACAAAAAATGAAGTATTTCGTGCTTGAACCAAGTACTTTCGGTGTCGAAACTTCGCCAAGCGTGAAAAATACAGAACCCGAGAGCAAAATTCAGCTTTCAAGCACAAATATTCAAGACCAAAAATACTAGGTTTTAGAACAATCAAGTATGAATAATTCTTAAATCTAGTCATATTTGCAATAAAAACAAGAACGATTTAATAACAAAGTATGAAAGTTGCAGGCATGATTTAAGGACGAATATTTATTAAATCAATATACATACATTGTAAATTTGAATTGCATCCTTATTATATGCTAGTAAAAGAAATAAGTATTGGATACTGAAATAAACGAGATGTACCCAAATAATATTAATATTTTACGACTTGCCGCTCACGGGCATAAGCGCTGAGTAATTTATGCGCCTTATATACCGAACCCTTTCAGAATAAAGAGTTCAGAATTATTAGAGTTGACAGATAGTGAAATCCAAAATGTGCTCAATGTGAGAACTTTTTCAACACAAACGTTCTTAAATGGTAAGCATGAAATCGTTCTTAAATTATGGCTGTTTGTACTTGATTTTAGCACGGTGGATTTTTTCCTGAGTGTACAGTCTCAAATTAAACAAGAAAGGAAGTTAACTTCGGCATGTTTGAATACCCTTGCAGTTATAATTACTAAATTTAATTCGAAATTCTGAAAAATACAAAAAATGATTTTCCCAATAGTATAAGATAATATGTCAAAAAACACCGAAGCTATAATTTGTTTTACATTATTTTTCCACCAATTTTCCGATCGTTCCTGTGGCAGCTATATGATATAGTCGACCGATCTTGATAAAATGAAATTCTAAATTCAAAACTAATTAAAAAATGTTACTTCCAAGCATAGCTTGTTAAAAAACACCAAAGAAATAATTTTTTAAATTTTTTTTCCGATTATTCCTAAGGGAGCTATCAGATATAGTTGTCCGCTCCGGCTGGTTCCGACTTATATACTACCTGCAAAAGAAGGAAGACTTTTGGAAAAGTTTCAGCCCGATAGCTTTAAAACCGAGAGATTAGTTTGCGTAGAAACGGACGGACAGACGCACATGGCTAGATCGACTCATCTAGTGATGCTGATCAAGAATATATACACTTTGTGGGGTCGGAAACGTCTCCTTCACTGCGTTGCAAACTTCTGACTGAAATTATAATACTCTCTGCAAGGGCCCTTATTACTGGGCTGGCAGATCGTTTCGAGAACCGTTTTAGGTTCTTTGTGAGATTTTTTGGGTGCAGTGTAAGTTTGTTATGGTAAGACGCTATCTGCTTTGATATTTTATCTTTAAGCGGCGGTATGCCAAGTTACCTGTGGATGTTTTCGGTCCAAACCCACTATAGTGACCCAGTGATTGTTCGCAAGATTTTCAATTGTGAGCTCTGTAAATTATCAATGTTGCTGTTGCTTGCGTTCTCCTAAAGCTGGGAGCTGTGAGTCCAAATGGCGTTCAGAGTGGAATTGTAGAGCAGAGCCTAAAGGTCCAGACACAGGAGAGATCGAGAATTTATAATCCAGTGTGGGCTGCTACCCTTAAGTTTGAGATGTATTCAATGTGTTAGACGTGTGTCGAAGTAGAGACCAAGATATGTTACCTGTATCGGGGGGCACGATTGTCTGTTAAGAGAAAATGTTATATGTTTACATTTTTGTACATTCATTTTTATTTTCCAGTCTGATTGCCACTTCTAAACTACCACCAGATGATCCGCTAGTTGAGCTGTTGCTCTAGTTGGGCAACTCGAGCGGTTCAGGATTGCGGTGTCGTTAGCAATTATGGAAGTAATTAGCTATTCGTTTGTAGTAATTTATGCTGTGTACAAATTTACAGAGTAGGGCCCATTGCGCCTTCTTGTGGAACTCCAGTTTCAATGTTAGACTGGTTGGATGTTGTTGCATTGCATCTCACCGCGAATGCTCTGTGGTAGGGGTACGACTGAAGTAATTTTTGAGTGTTATCTGGCAGTAATGATAAGATTTTATGCATAAGGCCGTTGCTTAGCTAATAATCTTTTTTATTAGCTGTTATGAAATTAAAGAAATACGAAAATCTTGGCTTGGTTTAAGTATTGGTTAACATATTATAAGCGAAAGATTTCAATAGGCGAGAAAGGAGTGTGTTTCATGTCGCGAGCAAATTCGTACTACTTTACAAGAGTTAGCCACTTCATGGGAGGCAAGTTTTCATCCTTGACCCCCCCTTTGACCAGGACTAAGTCATCGACGATCAGGCCAGGCCTTGGTGTGGCCACTTGGAGCGCTGTTGCAGCAGTGTCAAGTATTCTGCCTTCCATCGGGCCCAGAAGATCTGCTGCATGTAAGCCACGCGTTGCTACCCATCTAGGCGATTGAAGTTAGGACTGGTCACCATTTAAAAAGTGAGCTGTTACCACATCCAGGTCAGCAGAGTTTTGTGAAATCGAGACTACGGGTCAAGAATTAACTACTGCAGAAAGAGGGCACATTAGGGTCCGCAACTCATTAATAGCTTGAACTAAAGGGCCAACACCGTGATAGAAATGATGCTTAGCAATCTTCACAGCCGCTTCCCAAAGATCACCAAAGTGATGTGACCTCGGAGGAATAAAGCATTAATCAATGGATTCCGATAGGCAAAAGTCCAATGTAGCTTTCTAGTGATCATCGCTGAGGAACAGGCTTCTTATTTCAAGCATCTTAGTGCGCTTGCCAACAAAGTTGGTTGCATAGTCATGGAATTAGGATCGAATTATGCCAAGTAGTAGTAGTAGTTATGCAATACAATTATTCCTAAGGAATTGATACAAAATTCATTTTATTTTAAACAAAAATTACTTGGATCTACGCTATTTATTTTAGCAGTTCTCAGAAAATTTACAGAACTTCGATCGCTTCTAGTGTTAGCCCTTTAATAACAGACATTGGAAAACGCATTTTATGGCAGTAAAAACTGAAACTTTTAAGTGTTGCCATTTTCAAAACTAAAGAAAATTTAACTAAATTTTCGACTGAATGCCGGCACATATCTCGACCCACCCGCCCCCTTTTCCGCTCACCTTTTTGGCACCTCATTCACTAGTTTACGGCAAACTGAGAGAGAGAAGTTAAAAACTATAAAGATCTGACCCGTTCGGTGGATAAAATGGGGATAAAAGAGGGGACAACTGAAAGAGCAGCTGCTGCGAAACTATTTCTCGAACAATTGTACGAAGTTTTTAATTAGTGTGAATGACTTTCAACATTGCGTTGCCGTTCGGACCAGGCTCAAACTGAACATGAAGGTGGATCTGGAGCTGATGCTTTGCCTTCACGGGAACTGGAAAAGTGGAGAGCGGGAAATGTATAATGGGGGAATGTGGAACCTTGAACGGAGGGCGAAATGTACTGCTTCCATAATATTCCTGAAAATTCGTACCACTCTGTCGAGCAGCGCAAGAGAATGCAGTAAAGTTGTCTTTTGCATGAACTTGCTCAGTCTCTTATCCACGCCACTATTTTTCCCGCCCACTGCGGCCCATCACATGTACTTTTGTTTAGTTAATATATAATGATGTGCTAATAATGTATGAGTATTATTACCTTTTAAAATCTTTTTAAGCGAAGGCGGTCTCTCGATGCTTAATATGTATTTTATTTAAAAAGCAGACGTAGCTAAAGCATTTTGAGGGCATAAGAGCATTTTAACAAAATATATCAGAACGCTTTAGTAATTTACAGTAAAAATAGGGTATATTGTATTGTTCGGGAAGTACGTAAGAGGTAGACGAAAGCGTTTTCGACCCTTTAAATTACATTTGTATATTCTTGATCAGAATCACTAGCACCCTAAAGTAGAAAATAAGTATACAGATTCTAGAGGATCTTAAGCAGGCTAAGTTTGTTTCAGCGGAGTGTCACACCTACTTCGACGCTCACAAACACCCATAACTCTAAAGTCTTTCTGACACCCACCGTTTTAAAAATTTTGTTTTAGTGTTATTTGAAATTAATCACAGCACTAACTAAGTTAAACAACCCTTGGCATGGTCATTAGTACCGCTACAGGCCGGTAGGTGCCGTGGCGCTAGCATCCGTTGTAAGTGCAGCGCCCCTGGAATTATATTTTATTTGCTTTTTTAAACAGAGTAACGGGTATCTGATAGTCGAGCAACCGATTATAGCATCTCTTATTGTTCTACAAATTTTCTTTAAGTAGATTTGGCATTTTGATAACAAACATTTATCTTTTGTTTCTCCAGACCTGACGTCTACATCCTGACAGTCACTCAGATGCTCCAATACATGACCGACCCTAAGGAGCTGCGCGACGTTAACCAAATCGAGGCGTGGAAATGCGACAAGAGCGTGGCGGTGGCACCAAAGCCCTGCAATATCTGGCAAACGTGTGCGCTACCCTTTAAGATCCCCGAACAGAATCTGACGGATACGCGCTATATGGAGACCTGCCGGGAATGCCCCAATGTCTATCCCTGGCTGGGCGATGCTGGCGGAACGGGTATCGCTGGTCGGGATAATTATATATTTAGTGGCAGTGGCTCGAATACTGAACCAGAAGACGATTCTCAATAGAAAAGAGCCTGTCCCTTTACTCTTTATTCCTCTTTATCGCTAATATTATACCCATTACTCGTAAAGTAAAAGGGTATTTCTTTCAAATTGAGAAAATTATTTACAGCACCAATCGGTTCATATTAAACGCAAATGTTGGAAATCAAATGGATTCTGTCGGTTATTATGTGTCCATCAGCTTATAAGCCATTTTAAAAGATCAAACGTAAAAAGCCCAATAAAAACAAATCACCGGTGTGAGATCAGGCCCGGTACTACATATGCTCCCCTATGTTTCATGTCTGGAGACACTTTCTTCCTACGCTAGCAATTATAGCACTAAGTTCTCAAGCTGGAAATTAAAATTCATCTCAAAATGTATCTAAAAAATTTGACTCGGCCATTAAAACGCCCACAAATCTCAATTTCTGTGGCGACAACGACTTTGAGGTTGATTAAATTCAAGTGAAGTAAAATGCATTTATATTTGTGGCGCTCGCACCAATTGTGTTTACCGAGCCAAAACAATATGCACAGGCATATTTATTTTGAATTTGGTCAAAGGAGTAACAGGTATTAGATAGTAGAGGCACTAAACTACGGCGATTCAACTATTTTTATATGCCTTATTTCTTATTTTTTTTACTGTACTCTCATTAATTTAGCACACATGTGCCAGTCATTTTGATGCAATAATGAGCTGCTGCCTTTATATATCAACTCTCCGTCGTTTATTTTTCGCAGTTTATTTCTCTAATAGTTCTTAAGCGAAATTGTGTCAAATTGTTCTTAGTTTTTAAGCGACAAAATATTTGTATAAAATCGCACTTTTGTTTTGAATAAATAGATTATTTTTCTAAACATTCTTAGATGTTTTTCTATTAGTGTTATGCTTTTTGTACGAATAGATTTGTAAAGACACATCTACATACATTTCCTGAGTTCTGGATTAAAATAATCTTTATTTTTCAGAGTTCTCAGGAAGAAAACTATTATAAGATTCATATTTTATACAGACAGAGAAATGTAATACGATTAATTTTTAAGTTCGCCCGTAAACTTCTATAATAATGAAGTAAGTCCAAAGATTTCGTATTCAGATTCAATCATTTTTGCTATGTTTGTCATCTATCGCGGTTTTTAGTCACATCAAAAGGCCGTTATCTTTCAAGCCGAACGGATTTCACATTTGCATTGCCTGAAACCTTATGCATGAATACTATTCAGCAATTATGTAAACATATGTATCAGAATTTAATAGAAAACAAGAAAGGAATTTAACTTCGGCAAGCTTAAGTTTGTATACCCTTGCAGATATAATTATTAAATTTAAAAATACAAAAAATTATATTCCCAATAGTATAAGATAATATGTCAGAAAACACCGAAGCTATAATTCGTTCCTATGGCAGTTATATGATATAGTCGTCCGATTTTGATAAAATGAAATGGTTATATGTTTAAAAACACCGAAGCTATAATTTGTTTCATATTATTTTCCCACCAATTTTCCGATCGTTACTATGGCAGCTATATGATATAGTAGTCCGATTTTGTTTAAATTTAATTCGAAATTCAAAACTAATTCAGAAATGTTGTTTCCAAGCTTAGGAGGTTATATGTTAAAAATCACCAAAAATATCATTTTTTTAATTTTTTTTCCGTTTATTCCTATGGGAGCTTTAAGATATAGGTGTCTGGTCCGGCTGGTTCCGACTTATATACTACCTCCAAAATATATAAGACTTTTGGGAAAGTTTCAGCCCGATAGCTTTAAAACTGAGAGACTAGTTTGCGTAGAAACGGACGGACAGACACATGGCTAGATCGAGTCGTCTAGCCATGCTGATCAAGAATATATATACTTTATGGGGTCGGAAACGTCTGCTTCACTGCGTTGCAAACTTCTGACTGAAATCATGAAACCCTCTGCAATGGTATAAAAATAAAAAAAAATGTTCCATGTTCCTGTTGTCCATACCGACATCTTCTATCTTGAGGACGCTATAATAAGACCCAAACGAGATCTAAGCCAGAGAAATCTAACTGGGCTTTGGCTTATTTCGATGTGTACTTTCGACACATGATGTCCAAATCGTGGTTAAATTTCAAAACTCACAAAATTTTTCACAGAGTTTTCTGAGAATGTTTTTAAAATAGACTGTCCAGTTTTTTAAAAATTCCGAAAAAACCTTTACTAAAAATTACGTTCAGTAAAAACGAGGAAGAACGCAATAGTCGAGTACCCCGACTATCAGATAGCCGTTACTCAGCAAAAGTGACCAAAGGAAAATGGAAATATGCAAGCAGCAAAGCGAGATTGAAATGCGCCACCTTCCCGTGATCTCAATATATGGTTTTGCGATTTAAGCGTTATGGGCGTTAGAGTGGGCGTATTAAACTTTATTTGGATCAATCGATAGGTATTGATGAGACCAATACATTTCAGTTAAAATTTTGTATCTAGCAAGAAAATTATATGTGCCACATGTTTGGTCGGTTTGTGCGCATTAGAGTGGGCGTAGCAATCTTTTTTTGGATCAATCGATAGGTATTGAGGAGACTAATACACTTCAGTTAAAATTTTTGTGCTCATTACCCCCTTGTCCCGCGGCGTGACCAAGAAGTGTCTACTTCGGTTAGGCACAAACAAGGTAGAAGAAAGCGTTTCCGACCCGATAAAGTATCCCCCGTCTGTCCATCTGTCTGTCAGTCCGTATCGGAAACTATAAAAGCTAGATTCTTGAGCTTCGTGCGCAGAATAACGCTAAAACCCGTCTAGCAACCCCATTTTTTAATATTTTTAATTTAAAAGAGACTTTTTTGTATCCATCTACATTATAAAAATTGTCCAGATCGGATGATTTATTTAAAAGTTATAAACAAATAAAGTGTGCAATCTTGGTTACAGTAGCTTAAATAACTCCATCTCCCACGCACTCCCCTTAGCTGAGTAACGGGTATTTGATAGTCGATGACATCAACATTTCAAAAATCAAACCACTACATTTTTGTAAGCTCAATTCTTAAAAAAAACTTATTGCTTCGATTTTAAGTTATTTATTATTCCTACAAAAAGTGGTCGACCAGCCCATAGGTCCATGTGGTAACACACTCACAGAACTTTAGCTCATACATAGCGGCACTTGTTTAAGCTGTTAGCATATGCATAGAAAGAAATGTTTACCTTATATTACCGCTCCGCAGTATATTCAACTTTTCGGTCTCTTCAGCCCACTTTTAACCACCTTTTTACCTCCCCATTACCCCTTTAACACCCCCTGGCCAATTCTATATGTGTGTGTTTTGGGGGAGCTTTAGCAAAACTTTGTCATTAAGTTAGGTGTACGTTTGTTTTTTGGCTTAGCTGGGCCAACACTTTAAACAGAGAGTGAACGTTGCTGAGAAGGGAAGCAAAAGCAAGGGGCTATAAGGCGGAAATGGGGCTTAAATTGGGGGAACAGAAGAAACGCATCATAATTTAGTGTAGTTTGCGAAATGTACGTACGTGTAGAAAGAAAAACTTCTCCACACCTACTCCACCCTGCCAAAGTTGCACTTCCCTTTAAATCATATACATGGCGAAGCATTCGATCGGAGAAGTTGGAGAGACGCACTTAGAATGAGTCATGGAAATGAGTCTATGCCAGGATGGATAACTTTAAACATTGCTTTTACAACTGCAGCTACCGAAATAAAAAGCTGTAAAGTTAAATTTAAGCGCGGGGTGGCCACAAACGCCCATAACGGTAAAGTCTGTCTGGAGCCCATATTTTTTTTAGATATTCTTACAGTGTAAATTAAAACTCATTTTACTGAGAATCATACCAATCGCATTATTTTGTTAATAATATGACTAACAAAGTTAAAAAGGCTTTGGCAAGGCGAGTAGTACCGCTGCCGACCGCTAGGTGCCGTAGCTCTATTAACGGCGGTACATGCTAATCGAATTGCCGTGGGTATCTGATAGTCGAGGAACTCGACTATAGCGATCTACTTGTTTTGAGTCGGTGTTATATCGAGTAAAAAGACTTCTTAACGATGTAAGGAACTTACAAAAGCTCTAATATTAATTTTGTGCTTAAATTTAACAAAATAAATATTCTTCTAAATATAGTAATATAAATTATTACAAATTTGTAACATCCAGGTTTTCATCTAAACTTACAAAGGCATTTAGGCACTCGAAAATATAACAAGGGCGTTGCCCAGCGGAACTCTGTCAGGTCCCGGTTTTTTTGACCCGGATTAGAAACCTGTGCAAGACTTGTTTTTCTTTTTAATCTGTAAATTTTAATATTATTGCTAAGTGAATTTAACAACTAACAAAAGAAATTCCGACTCTTTTACACCAGTGAGACATGAACCGGGGTCCTCTCGCTTTAAGGACAGACACCTTACCAACATATAACCATATTCTTGATTGTGATGGACTAAAAATATGTTTATAATTTCTTAGGTCAAAATTTCGTCCATATTACCTTAATTTATTTCAATTATTTTGGTTTCAAGTCCATTTTTTTTTTTGGGTATAAACAAAAGTTTTTTTAATTAAAACCGGAACTGCATTGCCCATAGCAATCGTGGACACGTAAATATCAAAAGGGCCTAAACAGTTGTCAAGAATTTAACTATGTTCATGGTTTTTTAAAAATTGTTCTGTTAATTCTTATCGATATTTCTCTCATCAATACACGCCAGCACCAATGTATCATGTATCAAGAAAAGGTAGCGATCTATTTTTACGCTCCTTTTTAACTAATCATGATGCAAAAAGTTTTGCAAGTCTTGATGCAAAATTTTTGGAATAATTTCCCACCAAATTTCCGATCGTTACTATGGCAGCTATATGATATAGTCGTCCGATTTTGATAAAACTAAATTCAAAATTCAAAAATAATTAAAAAATGTTATTTCCAAGCGTAGGAGGTTATATGTTAAAGAACACCGAAGATATAATTATACCCGTTACTCGTACAGTAAAAGGGTATACTAGATTCGTCGGAAAGTATGTAACAGGCAGAAGGAAGCGTTTCCGACCCCATAAAGTATACATATTCTTGATCAGGATCACTAGCCGAGTCGATCTAGCCATGTCCGTCTGTCTGTCTGTCCGGGTGAACTCGGAAACTATAAGAGCAAGGCTATTGAGATTTGGCATGCAGATTCCTGAGTTTCTTACGCAGCGCAAGTTTGCTTCAGCAATGTGCCACGCCCACTCTAACGCCCACAAACCGCCCACAACAGTGGCTCCTACAGTGTTGATGTTAGAATAAAACT